GTTGTTCACGAGTCTTTCAGTACAAGACCCCTCAAGCACTCCAGCCATGCACAAAAGCATATCACCCTAATTTTTTTTTTTAACAACTGCAGGTTTTCATTTAGTCTACATTAACTTTCAGTCTCATTCAGACATAGCTATTACACAAGTCTTGGAGTAAATAAAAGTGAACTCATTTTAAGACAAAAAAAAATTAAAATCCCCAATAGGAAGGCAATGGAAACACTTACCCATACATTATACCTGCAATGGTACACTTCTTGAATGTCATAATATTGCAAGTGAGGGTTCCCGTTTTATCAGAAAATAAGTATTTTACCTATCAAAGAAAAAAGAAACATGAAAATCCATATAATTTAAAATATATCTGAGATCAAAGACAACAAGATGCCTTTTCTCTTTAAATCCTCAAAATATGGCATTGTGGCAGAGTGAGTTAAGCTACCACCTGTGATCCTGGCATTCCATATCAGAATGCTGCTCTGCTTCCAATTCAGCTCCCTGCTAATGTGCCTGGGAAAGCAATAGATTGATGTCCTAGGCACATGGGCCCCTGTAACCCACGTGGAAGACCCAGATGGAGTTGCTGGCTAATGGCTTCACACTGGCCCAGCCCTGGTCACTGTGGCCATTTGGGGACTAAACCAGCAGTTGGAAGATCTCTTTCTCTCTGTCTCTCTTTGTCACTTTTTCAAGTAAATAAAATAAATATTTTTAAATTAAAAATACATGAATTTTTTAGCAAACAAGAAACTCAGTCTCTAAGAATTCTATAATATTTATACTTTTGGAGGTCATTTTTTTTCTTTTTTACAATGAGGGTGAAATTAAGTAGTAATATACAGAGTAAATTTTAAGCCATCAAACCTAAGAAAATCAAAATTCCAAGTTCATTTTTCCTTCCACAAGAAATTTCAACTAAAGTATCTAGAAAAGATTGACTATATAGTCAAATGAAAATGAAAACTAGTCTCAAAACTATTTTCATTATGGTCACAAAAATAAAGCTCATTTCAAAATACAAAAGGACATTGGGTGGGGTCATCATTTCTATTCAACAAGCAATGCAAAGCAATATGGAATTAAACAATTTGAGATTTTTGCATTATGTGAAAAGACAGATACTAATTAACTCTCAATTTTGTTAAGTAACCAAAAATAAGAGTTAAATGGATATGTTAACACATATCTGCACATACACACACACAGGCAAACATATTTAAGTAATGTGATTTTTAAAAAGAAAACCAGGGATGGAAAAAAAAAACAAATGAAAATAAAGAGCTATCAGCAACATTAATATCAAAGTAGAAATTAAAAGTTTGGGGTATAAAACATAATAAAGGCCGGGGCCTCGGCTCACTAGGCTAATCCTCCGCTTGCGGCGCTGACACACCGGCTTCTAGTCCCAGTTGGGGCGCCGGATTCTGTCCCGGTTGCTCCTCTTCCAGGCCAGCTCTCTGCTGTGGCCCGGGAGTGCAGTGGAGGATGGCCCAAGTACTTGGGCCCTGCACCCCATGGGAGACCAGGAAAAGCACCTGGCTCCTGGCTTCAGATCAGCGCGATGCGCCGGCCACAGCGGCCATTGGAGGGTGAATCAACGGCAAAAGGAAACCTTTCTCTCTATCTCACTGCCCACTCTGCTTGTCAAAAAAAAATTTTTTTTTAATTTAAAAAAAACATAATAAAGAGTGATATTAATGATAAGAAAAAACATTTATAAAGAAATATGACAATCAAGAACCTGTGCTAGCCAAATAAAACATAAGTAAATACACAAAATAAAAGAACTTGATAAGAGTAAATATTAGAATATTCAAAACATTTCTTGCAGAATTTCAATTTCCTTCAGATATGAATGCTTTAAGATTTCAATAAATAAGGGAAAACAGAGAAAAACTGAAAATATAATAAATTTGATTTAATAAGTATAGAAAATATATATATATATATATTTTAAGTGTCTTTGACAGAAATGAATTACAGGGGTGGTAGTGTGGCATAGCAATTAAATATCCACTGGCAACACCCCCATCCGACATCAGAGTGCCTAGCTTGAGTTCTGGCTCCTCCACTTCCAACCCAGATTCCTGCTGATACATATGAGACAATAGGTGACAGTTCAAGTACCTGGATCCCTGCTACCTATGTGATTGGATTTTGGGTTCTTGGCTTCAGTCTGACCCAATGGATGGAAGATGGATCTCTCTTTCTCTCTTTGTGTGTGTGTGTGTGTGTGTGTCGCTCTGCCTTTCAAATAAAAATGGAAATTTTAAAATGTTTTATTAATATAAAGAGAACAGATTTCATGTATTTCACAGATATAATCCTAAGAATATAATGGTACTTCCCTCTCTCCTTCTATCCTTTTTTCTTTTAATTTTGCAATAGCATATTTTCAATTTACTTTAAAATCACAGGTTTAATGTCTAATTGGCCACAAAAAGACCATGGACACAATTTTTAAAATACAAATTTTTATAAGTCCTATTTGTTCATTATAATCAAATGAAATTAACGATTAGATTATAAAACATCAAAAACCTTAATGGTTGAGAATTAAGAAACAGACTTTTAGTCAAAGAGAAAATCAAACTGGAATTACAAATTATGTTTTAAAAATAGGGAGAGTTCTTTATAACAAAGCTTACAGAATTCAGTCAAAGCTGTAAACAGAAAAAAATATAAAATGTATGAAATTGATTAAGTATTAAATAGAAAAAGCTAAAAGCAAAGAAACATGTATTTAGTTTAAGAAAGTAATGGGGAAAAAAGAAATCAGCTGAAGGAACTAATTAGAATAAAAAACTAAAATGTTAAGAATTCCATATTACCTAAAGAAATTTATAGACAATGCAATCCCTATCAACATATTAATGACATTCTTTACAGAAAAAAAAAAAACTCTAAAATGTATATGGAATCTCAAAAAATCCAGAGTAGCCTAAGCAATTCAGAAGGGGAATAAAATAAAGCTCTAGGCATAGCTGATTTCAAATCATACTACAAAGTTATAGGAATTAAAACAACATGGTACTGGCATAAAAACTGGCACATAGATCAATGGACAGAACAGAGAGCCCAGCAAGAATCCATTCTCATGCAGCCCAGAGATTTTTGACAAAGTTGCCAAGAACATACATTGGAGAAAGGAGAAAGGATAGTCTTTTCACCAAATGTCACTGGCAAAAGTGGACAAAGGGAAAAGTCATCATGGTGTCTTTGATCTCAGGTACATATTTTTTTTTTATTTTTTATTTTTTGACAGGCAGAGTGGACAGTGAGAGAGAGAGACAGAGAGAAAGGTCTTCCTTTGCCGGTGACTTGCCCTCCAATGGCTGAATTTCTTCTGCCTCAGCAGGACACCCATGGAAATCATCCCGAGGCTGACAGGAAATTTTAGAGACTGCCACAAAGTCTAACACCTGCCAAACCCCTGTGTTTGCTTGCAGCTGCCAGAAGAGCAACAATAAAGCTTTACTTTTTAAAGTGGAATTTCTTCCAAAGACAGATCCTGACATGCATTCCTGCTGATGAAAGATGTGCAGAAATGTGGCTCCCTTCCCCCACCCCCGCCACGCCTCTAGGGCCTGGCATCCCATAGAAGGGGTTGAGAATTGTTTGTGCATTTGATTGGTTCTCTTTTTTTCTGCTTGTTTTCACTTAGGGTGCTTTGCTTTGATTATGACCCCATGATCCTTGGACTTTATTGGTAGGAGTTCTTTGAGGCCTGTTTGAAGACACTTGAGAATTGTGGCTTTGGTATCAGCAGGAGGTCCTTTGGATACGGAGAAAGGACTGTATTTAAGATCCTAATTTGGGTTAGACCTTTGATGCAACATTTAAAACATAGCTTGGATTGCCCACATCCCATTAACAGAGGTGCCTGGGTACAAGTTCCAGCTCCACTTCGGATCCAGTTTCCTGCTAATGC